CTCTCGCGCCATCTAGTGTACAAAAGGTGGAAGTGGCTCAAGCACATTCCAAGGTCCCATAAGGATTTCAAGATCCACCTGGTACTTAACAAGCATCAACCCAAACACTCTGGACACGGAGAGGTGTGGCGCCTTTTAAAGGAGACACGTGGAATTAACATTCGCTAATCACTTGCTGTGGACCGGGCAGGCCCTCCAACTGTATTTACCGAGCCAAATGATAAAGAGTTGATCTCTGGATTCATCTGTACTCAACATGAGTGGTACCAGTTAAAAGTTCATTTATGCAGCATGAACTGGTGTAGTATAAGAAGTGACACTCTCGGCAGGGCGCAGCACTTTGGGAGGCTGAGGCGGGCAGATCACCTGAGGTCATAAAAACAAAATTGACACTCTCTAGCTTGCCTCCCAAACCTCTAAAAAACAGGAAGTTCCAGCTGGGAAAAGGTAAAGCAGCTTGCTCCCATATCCCAAAGGTTCAGAAAGGGAACCCTGGTGAACATCAGTCATGTGGGAGCTTTGAATCTCCAGTGCCCTGGCACACTCCAGGCCAACTAATTCAGACCCCCACAGTGGGAACCCAGACTTAGAATTTTTTTTTTTTTTTTTGAGACGGAGTTTCCCTCTTGTTACCCAGGCTGGAGTGCAATGGCGCGATATCGGCTCACCGCAAACTCCGCCTCCTGGGTTCAGGCAATTCTCCTGCCTCAGCCTCCCGAGTAGCCAGGACTGCAGGCATGCGCCACCATGCCCAGCTAATTTTTTGTATTTTTAGTAGAGACGGGGTTTCACTATGTTGACCAGGATGGTCTCGATCTCTTGACCTCGTGATCCACCCGCCTCCGGCTCCCAAAGTGCTGGGATTACAGGCGTGAGCCACCGCGCCCGGCCCAGACTTAGAATTTTTTAAAGCTCTGTATGTGAGTCCCGTGAACAGCAAAGTCATGAACCACTGCGATAGCCTTTACCATCAGAGGTTTGGAAGGCAAAGACATCCGGTGACAGAGGTCGCAGACACTACACGAGAAGCAGAGTTCGGTGCTGCCTGTCCCAGACACTCCCCTTGGCCCTGACCTGCTTCGTCCGTGACGTCCTGAACTCCTTTCATCTGTCAACAGTTTAGTCTCCCTTTGTGATTATCACAGTGAAAACTGGAATTGTTGACTGTCCCAATCACTGCTGAGTGGGCTCTCTGCGGTCCTCGTCTTCTGAATCTGGGCATTAGGAAGAATATTCGGGGTTCTGAGCAGTTTCTGTGGCACCAAGAGAATGGTTTCAACTGTAACAGGAGAGCCTCACCCCCGGACGAATTCCGCAGAAACAGGGAAAGGCCTGCTTCGGGCTCACTCCCCCTTCCCGGCCTTCTAATAACAGGTATGACCTTTATGAGATACGAGTTGTCAGTATGACAAGAAAGGGGCTGTAAAACTGAAATGGGGCCATTCGAGGCGAGGCTGCAGCCAGAGGCACTGGCCCCTGCTGCTGGGCCAGGGAGTAGGGCCGCCCGATTCCTCCAGAACAGTCTGCAAGGTGAGGTGGTCACGTGGCCTTTCAGAAAGCAAAACCCAGACAAAACAAACTGCTTGAAGGTCGTGGGTCCCATCCCGGAGCCTAGACTGCCCGAGGAGGCAGGAGCAGGTGGCACTGGCACATCAGAGACAAGGGATCCAGACACCAGACACTCCTGGGTTCTAATCCCCACTAGGTGATGTGGAAGAAGTCATTTGACCTACGTCCCTGTGTCTTCAACTCTAAGATGGAATACCCACCTCATAGAGCTACTGTGACAATTAAATGAGAAAGAGGGACATCGTGCCGGGCACCAGGGGGGCACAGTGGCTGTGAGTCCCACTCCCCTCTTTTTTTATAGAAAGGGTCTCACTTTTGTCGCGGGTGGGCGACAACCATTTGGGCCAGTGGCACACGGGGGTGAAGAATTTACCAAGACAGCCGTAGGTAAAGAAAGGCAGATATATGCGAGGAAGAATGAAAAGAGGTTTTGAGGAGACAACGGGCGGATCAGCAGAAGAGGAGCGGACTGCCAGAGACAGAGGCTCCTGGAGATTTTATAGGATGGTTTCGGCTGCAGAGGGCTACGCGCAATACTGGTAACACCAGGGCTGCAAGGAGTTAGCTTGCATGTTTCTCTCAGCCAAGACATCTAATGATAAACTGAAGTGTTTGATGTGAAATTGGGTGCAGGAGGATTGTGGGTAATGTACGTTATCTGCGCAGAGGTGCTACGTGTCCTGGACCATGAAGAAAGGCAAGCCGATAACTTACCTGCTTTATCTCTGTATCTCCCTCAGTCCCACCAGCCTGACTCCTTTGCTTTAATTAGGAGTCTACAGATTTGTCATCCAGGCTGGAGTGCAGCTGTGCGATCATAGCTCGTCGCAGCCTTGAACTCCTGAACTCATTCGATCCTCCTGCCTCAGCCTCCAGAGTAGCTAGGACTACAGGCATGCAGCACCATGCCCAGCTTTTTTTTTTTTTTTTTTGGTAGAGATGGGGGTCTCACTATGTTGCCCAGGCTGGTCTCAAACTTCAGGCCCCAAGTGATCCTCCCACCTTGGACAGTAACAGCACCTGCTACTATCTGCCTTGTTGATTACAGCTATCAAGGTGTGGAGTGGTAACCTTACATTTTTATTAAGTAAGTTATATTTTAGGGAGGTTTTTGGTTGGTTCGGTTTGTTTGAGGCGGAGTCTCACTTTATCGCCTAAGTTCTGTTTGGTTTGGTTGAGATGGAGTCTCACTCTGTCACTCAGAATGAAGTGCAGTGGCACAATCTCAGCTCACTGCAACCTCTGCCTCCCGATTCAAGCAATTCTCCTGCCTCGGCCTCCCAAGTAGCTGGGATTACAGGCACCTGTCACCACATCCAGCTTATTTTTGTATATAAAAATAAGCTGGACGTGGTGGCAGGCACCACCAGGGTTTCACAATGTTGGCCAGGCTGGTCTCAAACTCCTGACCTCGTGATTTGCCCACCCTGGCCTCTCAAAGTGCTGGGATTACAGGAGTGAGCCACCACGCCCAACTGGGGAGTTGTTGTTTTAATTTTTTTATAGCCTAATGTTAAAACTACATGGAATAAAAGGATATTAAAACAAGAAAAAAGTGAAAGGTTACAACAGGACAATAAAGATGGAGGAATGCCGTCTGAAAGGTGAGAGGGCTGAGCACGGGACAGGAATGGCTGTTGGCGGGGGCGGGTGCTGGCGTGTTGTCAGCGGGACTCTAGCATGTCTGGAGGCCACTGGCATGTTCGGGGGAACTAGCTGTATGGGGACACTGGTGTGTGGGGACACTGGCATGTTGCATGGGGACACTGGTGTGTGTGGGAGGATACTGGCATGTGTGGGGGGGACACTGGCATGTGGGGGACACTGGCATGTTGTGTGGGGACACTGGTGTGTGTGGGGACAATGGCATGTTGTATGTGTGGGGACACTGGCATGTGTGTGGGGGATGCTGCCATGTGTGGGGACACTGGCATGTGTGGGGACACTGGCGTGTTGTGTGGGGACCCTGGCATGTTGTGTGGGGACACTGGTGTGTGTGGGGGGACGCTGCCATGTGTGGGGACACTGCCGTGTTGTGTGGGGACCCTGGCATGTGTTGGGGGGGCACTGGTGTGTGGAGGTCACTGTCCTATTGTGCAGGGCGCTGTTGTATGGATACACTGGCCGGGCTGGAGAGGCACATTCTACCTGCTCCTTCCTTCCTCCATTTGTTCCCTTTAGTTCCCATGTGACTTTCTGGACTGTGGGAGAAAGCAGTTTTCCAAGGGATCCCACAGGTGGCGTTCCTGACGAGGCTCTGTCCACATATCAGCCCACAAGTCAACACACATTGCCCCTCAGGGCAAAACCTGCCGCCCAGCATTTAAGCATTTACCTACCATAAGGGGCACAGCAGGCATCACCAAGGAGGAGCCAGAATCCAGCCTCTGCTAGACCCCGAGGGCCCTCGAGGGGCGTGCCAGGTGCTTCAGTGAGAAAGTCATTTTCACAGAAGTATAGACCATTTCCTCAAACCTCACTGCCAGCCTCCAAACAACACTCTCACAGAGAGCCTAATTCTATTCTCAGCTGGAAAGAGGACAGAGGAATGCCTCCAATCGCCTTAACTTCTAGGTGTCTGTCCCTCGGGCCAAGTCAGCAGGTGGAGGTTTACCACCCAAACTCAGAACCAGACCCCAACAGGGGTGGAGTCCTTAGGAGCCTCAGGCACACCCTATGCACCAGTAGAGAAAACCTAGAACGGTGGGGAGGGGAGTCCGTGGTGATTAGAACGTAAGGGAGGAAACAGTGCCACTGGTTAAACAGCACTCAAGCTGTCTATGTGGGGACAGACGGGTTTGCTACCCTCAGAATGATTTTACAAGAACAGCCTGCCACTGAAGTCTGAATCCAAAACAAAACAGCCAACAAGGAAGTATATGGACTGTGAACAGTGGCTTCACCCTGTGGGCCACAGACTGACCCACAAGGGACTGCAGGTTTCTTGCAAGGGGTCTGTGATTTCACCTAACAAGCACTGTCTACAAACAGATGGTCTTATACAACTATTCTTCAAATAAATGGAGATCTGCTGTGCCTGAGGCAGCGTTATTCAGTTGTAAATGTTTCTGGGTAGTTGCTTTTTGTCCCTGCATATTTTTTAATTTTTCTTATTCTTTTTAGAGATAGGGTCTCACTCAGTTGTTATCCAGGCTGGAGTGCAGTGGTGTGATCCCGGCTCACTGCAACCTCAAACTCCTGGGCTCATGCCATCCTCCCGCCTCACCCTTCCGAGTAGCTGCAGCCTGTGCACAGCTGATTTTTTCAATTGTCTTGTAGGAATGGAGGCGGGGCGCTCATCATGTCACCCAAGCTGATCTTGAACTCCTGGGCTCAAGAGATCCTCCCACCTCAGCCTCCCCTGAAGTGATGACAGGTGTGAGCACCGCACCCACCCATTGCGCATTGTTCTAATCCCTGGACAACCAAAGCACCGTGACCACGTAGGGTCCGCAAGGTTTTTAATGTTCAAGGGGGTGTCCATCTTGAAAACGGTAAAGGAATTAACATATTTAGGTCCACCAATAGGGAACAGGAGAAAGAAATTCCGGCACAGCACAGGGGTCGGCAGACTACGGCCCGCAGCTGTCGCTGGAGAGCTTCCCAGAGCCAGCCTTGCAGTGGTTGCCACGCTGCTGACGGCTGCTCCGCAGAATCGCTGGGACCAAGACCACGGTCCAGGAAGCTTCAAATGGCCACTATGTGGCCCTCTACAGAAGAGTCTGCCCACCCTCCATACAGCACATTGTGAAATACACTGCATGATACTGAACAGTGAAGAAAAGAAAGGAAGGTACTGCAACTATTAGATAAAATAAACTGTATATACGAACAGGGAAAGATGTTCAAGAAATCATGAGAATGTCTTATTTTAAACTCTGCCTGCCTTCTGAGGCCAGCAGGCCCCGTTCACTTAGTTTTGCTGGGCTCCAGTGAGAAAGGAATTTGAGTTCTTGGGAAGGACGGACCCCTGGGAGGGAAAACAGGACTCTGGGCAACAGTGTCTAAGCAGCGACCCCGGCACAGGCCTGAACAGAACAAGCAGCCCCTCAGTTACGGGGGTGGCACCCTCAGAAGCTCCCTGAGAGCTGTGCAGGAAGCGTCCCCTCCTCCCCACCCCGGATCTGAGGGGGATCGAAACTCAAAAGAATAAGAACAGAGGCCAAACCACCACCATGGTCTGCCATCAGCTGATGTACACTGAAGCCCAGAATCAAGCAGACAGGCCCACCAAGGCCCCGCTGTGAGTGGGGGCCAGCTCCCCTGGTGGAAAGGCCTACCCAGGAAAGACGGCAGAACAAAGCAGAAAGAGCCGCGGGCTGAGCCGGCGATTCTTCCCAAGTTAATAATTAGATAAGCCCCTGCCTTGGGCATTTGAAAGGCCAGGAGCATGTTTGGGGGAAACTCCCTCCTCCTGGAATCCCTGTGTCCCCTCGGAGGGCTCTTCAACACCTACCAGTGAGTCTACACAGGAAAGGGCTGGAGGCTGGGCTACCTTGTCAGGGACCCAGAACTGCCTCCCACTGCCCCATCCGCACAGCCCAAAGCCACCCCCCGCCAACCTGCCCCTTAACCCAATGGTATCAGAGCATCTTAAAAGCACGACCGCTTGACTCTGATGGCTGCTGTGTCAGATAAGAAGCAGGCCCCATGGTGACAGATCACACACACGGAGTGCGGCTGGCTCCTGGCTCCCTTGCAGTCCGCCTCTCTCCTCACAGCTCAGCACTTTCTTCTGAAGAGCATTAGAGGTGCCATGCAGACAGCTGGTCCACCTGCACTCTGCCCCACAATCCCAGAGCCTGTGCTGCCCCTGCAGACTCCTGCATGTCCTGGGGGCGGCCACCACCCCAGCCCTTGATGGCTGTCTTCAAATTAACTTCTGTTTCTGTGGAAAAGCAAAAGGAAAAGGACTAAGTTCCTAACTGTTGAGTAGAAGCCACTCATCGACTCTAAACTATGGAAATTTAGTCCATCAAACCTTAGTCTAAAATGTGTAAGTCACACCCACCAGAGGAGGTGACCAAACACGCTTCGGTGAAGTCAGGTAAAAGCTGTTTGCAAACTATGCAGAGTCTCGGCAGATGCCCTGAGAATCTTTAGCTCTTCCGTCCACAGGGATTCCACCAGAGTTAGCTGGTTTATCAGAGCCTCTTTTTCATCCTTCGTACGAGACACCTGAAAGTTATTTATTATTTTTATTGAGGTAAAACATGGATATATCACAGAATATACCTTTTAACTGATTTCAAGTGCACAGCTCAGCAGCATGAAGCACATTTGCATTGCTACAGAACCACTGCCACTCTCCAGCTCCAGAACTTTTTCTATCACCCCAAACAGAAACTCTACAACCATCATCAATAACCCTATTCCGCTCTTTGAACTTGAACTGTCTCTATGAACTTGCCTGTTCTAGGAACCTCAGATAATGGAATCATACAGTATTTGTCCTTTTGTGTCTGGCTTATTTCATTTAGCACAATGTTTTCAAGGTTCATTAAAATCACACTTTAAATCCCAGTCATGTTTTCATACAAATGAGCTGATTTCTCATTTAACTAAAACATTTACTAAATACAACATCAATGAGAAAAAAATGCTTGAAGTCATGCAGTACTTTTTTACTTTTTACCTTTTTTACTTTCTACCTTTGAATAAAAGGTATAGGCAAAGATATGGAATCAACCTAAGTATTTATCAACAGATGAATAAAGAAAGAAAACACAGCACATATACCCAGTGAAGTACATTCAGCCTTATAAAAGCAGGAAATTTTGTCATTTGTGACAACATGGATGAACCCAGAGGACATGCTGTCACATGGCAATAAGCCAGCACACCAATACTCCATGATCTCACTATATGTGGAATCTAAAATTGTCAAACTCATAGAAGCAGAGAGCAAAATTGTGGTCGCCAAGGCTAAGGAGTTGGAGGGGAAATGGGGAGATGTTGATCAAAAAACACAAAATTTCAGCTGGACCAGAGGAAAAAATTCAAGAGATCTATTGTATGTCATGGTAACTACGGTTAGAAACAATGTATTATGTACCTGAAAATGGCTAAGAGTAGATTTTAAGTGTTCTCACCACAAAAAAAGAAGTATATGTGATCATGATATATTAAATAGTTTGATTTACCCATCCACAATGTATACAAATATATACAATTTTTACTGACCAATTAAAAATAAAGAGGCCGGGTGCCATGGCTCATGCCTGTAATCCCAACACTTTGGGAGGCTGAGGTGGGCAAATAACCTGAGGTCAGGAGTTTGAGACTAGCCTGGCCAACATGGTGAAACCCTGTCTCTACTAAAAATATAAAAATGACCCAGGTGTGGTGGCCGGCGCCTGTAATCCCAGCTACTTAGGAAGCTGAGGCAGGAGAATCACTTGAACCCAGGAGGCGGAGGTTGCAGTGAGCCGGGATCACGCCATTACACTCCAGCCTGGGAGACAGAACAAGACTGTCTCAAAGAAAAAGGAAAAATAAAGAAAGAAAGAAAAAAACATTGACAGAAAAAGCATACGTCCAATGTTAACAGTCAAAAATAGAGACTACATCAACATTTGTTTATTGAAGGCACTGAACAATGTTCTTATCAAATGCACTATCCCTGGTAACATGTACAAAACAAGGAACTGCTTAATCAAGACATTTCTTAAGGATGTAATATTCTAGAAACATACCTTTTGAAGCATAGCAGTAGTCTCTTCTATGAAATAATAGCATATTTTCTGGGCTATATCCAAACTCGTCTTCTCATTCGTATCTGAAATTACTTCCCCAAGAAGTACTTTTCTCCAGCATGTACTAGAACCAAAATGTTCCATGACACAATTTTAGCAGACTCTCGAAAAACAGACTTTTACATTTCAATGCAACAAATAAACTCCTTCTATTTCTCCAGAAGCATAAATACAACTCATTCCATAAGCAGATTCCACAAGGACCCATGTCACTTGCAGTCCCTGCGTGGAAGCCAACCAGGTAGTAAGAACGGAGGAGGAGGAGCTGAGAATAAAAAGCACGGGGGGTGGGTGCCTTCTGCAGGCAAGAACTGAATGTTATCATCACCACAAACCTGCGTCTGACACGAGTGAATGAAGTCCTGTCCCTGGCTATGGGAACGAAGCAAGGGACAGAACAGGAAGGGAGTCTACAGCCAAGAGGCAGAGGACTAAGGAGCAAATGTAGGAGTTTTCCTTCTCTTCAAGTGACAGTCTGTCCAAAACAGTAGCAAACTGAACACATTTCACAAAGCCAAATGCTCTGCATCTGGAAGGAGGAATCTACAGCCAAGCCCTCTCTCCATGCAGGTCATTCCAATGCTCTACTACAAAGGCTCCAGGAAATGGGGCTCAGCTGGCAGGCAGGACCCACTCTGGTGGGTCTGTTGTGGTAGGTGCGAGGGAGCCACAGCAGGATGCGGAGCAGAGATGGCAGCACCAGATGTAGACACCAGGAATAAGAACTATTGGGAGAAAGAGGATGGAGGGCCGGATTCTGAACACTGAGAATCTGGCAGTGGAAGTGGCTTCAACAGGAAGGAACAACGGCTGCCATGGAAGTAAACAGGAGCCCATTAGAATTCAGAACAGCTGGCAAGACACAGGACGGAATAGACTCAGAAGTCTTCAGTTTTAGAGATGACAGGTGAAAAGCTCAGGAAATCAATGAGTTCTCAGGAAAGAAAAAGGGAAAGTACTGAGTGTCAGGCACAGTGTTCGTGAATAACCATTATCTAATTTACTCTCCACAATTACCTAGCAAAGAAAGCACAATTATCCCCACATTAGACTCAAAGCAATAGAATCAGGAAAGTTGGAGAACTCACCCTAAGTGACAGAGCCAAAGAGAGACAGAAAAAAACTGCAAACGTGTCTGTACCAGGCAGAGCCCCAAACATGCTTTTCTGCCATCCCACTCAGTAAGCAGCAACTCAACTCAAACGGAAGGAAGGAGGCCTAAAGAAGACCTCTGGGAAACAACCAGTTGTATTTAATTTTAGGCTGAAGTGTCTGAAAAGGACTCATACCTTGTTGCAAGAAGTATTTAAAGAAGCTTACATGAGTACACACAAAATAAAAGGTAAAATGAGTAATGGCTGACAGCAAGACAAAAGAAGATGAGAGGAGAAAAGCCAAGACACAGCAGGAACGAATCAGTGTGAAACCACACGACTTCACATCCGGTACGTTTGGATGGACTTCAGATCTGCCTCTCAGTTTTCCAGTGAACAATAAAAAGAAGGAAACATCAGTTAAAGAAATCATAGGATCTGTAAGATAAAAACACTCCATTTGCTAAAAATAAAAACAAAAACTATGGTATGGAGATGAGGGAGAAATTTTCCTCCAAAAGTTCCTAGAGAAAAAGAAGGAAGCAGCATCATCTCATCCAGAAGAAGAGCAGGCATCACTGCAGGGGCACCGACTGCTCCAGGCACTGCTTCTGGGCCTCATCTCAGCCAGTCCTCCCAACCGCTCAAGGACAGGCTGCACCGTCTTCAACTTCTCCCTGTATATCTAGCAGCAGAAGGCCGTAAGCGGCTCTCCCTGCCAGGGACTCTGGCTAAAGCTGCCTCTGCCCTGGGTCCCACACAGCTGGATGTGCCGACAGGTGGCTAAGGGGAGCAGGACTGACAGCTGGGCAGGAACATGAGGGACCCTGGCCAGGATGCATGCCCACACTGGGGGCTCCCCGACCCACCTCCCCCATGGAAAAGTCCAGGCCTCTCCTTCAGCGGGGCTTTGGGATCTGCCCCAGGGCCGGACTGTTGTTAGGAGCCCTTGCTCCCAGGAAGCTCTTGCTCCTACCTACTCTAAGACTTTCCTCTGAACAGTGCCAAAGCCCACACTTTTTAAAGGATTTCAGGTCATGAGGAGGAAAATACGAGTAGAAACCGAAAAATTCTCAGAACCATGTACTCTGATTGATTCTAAACTAGAATTCCAAAATGGTTAAAACTTAGAAATGAAACACTCACTACCTGGGCAAGTTACATAACGAAAAAGCGACTCCAATGCATGGCATTCCTTTTTCCTCCCTGGCTATCTGAATGCGAGCCAAAAACAAACAAACCCTCCAGAGTTATATCTAGACTGGTGCTGCAGCTTAAGACCAACACATGTGAAACTTACAATTTTTCAGCTTCCAGACTTAACAACTTAAGGGCTGTGAGTAACCTCCAAGATGGTCCATCCCATCCGAATGTCAAATTTCTGAAGTAGAAAAACAAATAATGACAAATCTGTCATTTCAGTATTTCATGGCCTCATAGCAACTGGCTGAAGAGCCAAACACCTTTTTAAAGGGGTTGCTAAATGTCATGTAACCTGCACTCATGGTCAAAGGACAAGAGAAAATCAGTCTGCAAATACTTAAGAAGAAAGCTTAAGTAACAGAAAATTCTCTCCATTTTTTTTGAAGAGTAAATGGCTCTTTTCCAATAATTGTAGTAAGAAGCTTGAACGTGAATGAGGGACCTCAGGCAGGGCACATGCACAGGAGTTCCCAGTGAGGGAAATGCTGAAGAACTGGAAGTACTCTGGGCATCACGCAGATGGCAGCCGCCACCACCAGGCTGCTCTCATACCATGGCTGGGTCTTTTAAAACTTAATTTCATTCAGAAAAGAAAATCCAAAAGGGAGAGGCTTGAACCCCGTTTAACCCACTTGGCAGGGAATCACCCAGCTACCCACCTACCCCAAGAGCCTGCATCATGTTGCTAGGTGCCTGGGCTCTCCTGAGGGCCAGCCTGGCCTTCCTACATGACCGCAGCATAGACAGACTCACCCTGGGCCACCCATCAGCACATCCAGGTTCTCTTTTGGTACCATAATTTAATATTTCCAGCTTGTACCTTATGTCCCTAAATAAGTTTCTTTCAAGTGTCTTACACTCCTTATGTCCTCTACAACATCAAGCACAGTTTTACTACACATAGTAAGTGCTCAATACCTACTCATCAGCTGATACAGGGTCAAGAGGTGTCTCACCCCTATGGAAACCTTAACCCCCGATTTTCCATAAAAATTTCCTGAAGGAATAATTTTGAGAGGGAAAGAGAAACACTTACTCTATATAGCCATGATCCTTTAAGATGGAAATCTTTTTGTCCATTTGTTTATCTGCTGATGGAAGATATTTAACAAGTATTTCTAAATTTAAAAAAGAAAAAAACAGACTGAGAATTAGGGCGTAAATTTGGACAAAAGTATGTCTCCCTTCCCTTCACTTCCCTTCCCTTCAATTCACTTCCCTTCCCCTTAGCAATCCAGACATACATAAACAGTTCAACCTAATTCACAATCCAGACATGCATAAACAGTACAACCTAATTCACACAAGAGAAGTCTACTCTTCAAGTCCAATTCAGTCATATCAGTACTGAGTCCCTGAAAAGCTGTAAGAATTCCGAGTCTAGAGGACTAAGCACACACAACCTCAGCTCATGCTCCCGCTAAGTAAATCCACCAAAAACAATCAGGTCATATGACATCGGCATGACTGTTGGAAAATTACAACCAGCAAAAGTAGAGGCTCTGCAAAACATGAGGAAAGCTTTACAATATTGAGCTTTTTTAAAACCAGAATCACAGCAGTCTGGACGTTAGTGACTGTAACTGCAAAGCTTAAAGTAAAAATGCACAAATTAAGCTATTTGGAGAAACAGGGCACTGAGGGATTTTTCTATTTTATTTTTAAAAATGTAAAAATAACTAAAATATAATTTTTGCTCAAATGAATATTCCATAGACACCAATATTAAATTTATCAGGACTTTGAAAACATGAGGCCAATCTCAAAGCTGGTTTCCAGCAGCAAGACCCCATTTTTGTTTTTCTTTTTTTTTTTTTAAGAAATCACATTATTATTCTGCCTATGAAATAGAGTGGTATCAGCTTAACCAAGTTTCTATTTCCAACCAAACCTATATTAAAAATGCTTCAAATTGTATATATAATAAATCCCTTGCCATTTTTTCATGGCCTAGAAAACTGCTTTGTTACCGTTTCAGAAAGGGAAAAAAAAATCATTCTTCTATGTACTTTTTTAACACTATATTTGGAATTTTCACACCCTAAGTTTAATGGTTAACTTACTATTTTAAAATAATAAAACCGGGCCAGCCAATGTGGCTCCTGCCTGTAATACCAACACTTTGGGAGACCAAAGCAGGGGGATTTCTTGAGCACAGGAGTTCAAGACCAGCTTGGGCAACATAACAAGACATTGTCTCTATCATATGAAAAAACAAAAATTAAAAATAATAAAACCAGGCTAGGCACAGGGGCTCACTCATATAATCCTAGCACTTTAGGAGACTAAGGCAGGTAGATCACTTGAGGTCAGGAATTTAAGACTAGCCTGGCCAACATGGCGAAACCCCATCTCTACTAAAAATTCAAAAATTAGCCAGGCGTGGTGGTGTGTGCCTGTAATCCCAGCTATTCAGGAGGCTAAGGCACAAGAATCGCCTGAACCTGGGAGGCGGAGGTTGTGGTGAGCCAAGATCATGCCACTGCACTCCAGCCTGGGCAATGGAGTGAGACTCTGACTCAAAAATAATAAAACCAATGATGGTGACCTAGTTAAGGATCACAAAAGAACATACATGAAATCACATCTCATCACGGCATCAACCTCCAGAAATAAGGACTACATAATAGAGTTACCTTTGTGATTAGCACAGTGTCTTACCCACAGTAGGTGCTTAATAAATATTTTTTATTTATTGCTCCCTAATCCTATTCTGTCTTTAGTGACAGTGACAATGTTTCAGTACAACATTTCCATCCTTTAATATTGTATGTCGTTCCTTAGCAGTTTTCCTTTTCTTCCATTCTATCTTTTGACCCAATGCAATGAAAACTTCTCAATTCTTCTTATCCTAAACATCAATGAAAGCTTTGTTGTTTTTACTTCAACACTGAAACCACAGTCAGTAAGTGTGAGGCTAGGCCTACCTAGAGGAAAATTAGTGATGTCTATGTCAGTCTTAAGGTTTTGATATTTTTATGAAAACTGACAACAAACATCTCCAAATGGGGGGAAAAATATATAGTGTTAATGTTAAAAACAAAGTTGATTCCAACCTCTCGGGACATAAACACAAGCATGAGGATTGTGTGCGGGAACAAATCCATATTCCAGGAACAGCCGTTGATTATCGTGAGGGCCGTAACAGATGAACACCTCTTCATGTTTTCTCCAACGTGAAGTCGTTCTAATTTCGTAACAGTGAGTTTCTTCATTAAATGCTGCTTTTACCTACAGAGAAAAATTGTTAAAGGTTTTTCTAAAGTAAGGTGTGAAACTACAAAGCAGATTAAGTTATTGCATAATATTAATGTGAGTCAAGTGCAGTTTTCAAACACTCATCAATAAATGTAACTCCGCCTAGGGAAGATGCCACTTCAGTTTCACCCACTCTGACTTCACCCCACCGGTGAGGGAGGGAGTCCCACCCGAGGATGGCCACACCCGATACCCCACACAGCACAGATGAGATTGCCAGTTTACTGGCCACATCCACTCAGACCCAGGGAAGAGGACATGGTGGTGCCAATAAACGTGATCTGTGAAAAGCTGGAGAGTAAACAGGTTTGGCTTTGCCGGCCCTAGTAGTCTCTGTCCAAGTTGTTGTATTTTTACATCCTTTAAAACTGTAAAAACCACTCTTGGCTCAGGGCTCTCGGGCCACATGCCCACAGGCTGTAGTCTGTGGTGTGCTCTTATTACAGTAGACTATCAAATCATTGGTTTGGCACATAAATGTACAACGGCCCCATTAAAAATAAAGTCACTGTGCTGGGGACTAAGGACTCCCCATGTCTAGCATCCTGTTGCTCTACATGCCCCTGATATCATTTCATCAACATCAACCACAGAAACACTCATCCAATCCCAGCCTCCTTTGCTCTGATTGTTAGAGACATTTCTTTCTATAAAAGTAATAAGCAGACTGGCCCAGGGCTTGTTCCTGGGCTAAGAAAGCAGAGCAGGAACCTCCCTAAGCTCTGCTCTCACGTGGAGAGCACGTGAGCTGGCACCTGGCTCACAAGGCCATCACTGCTCTTCTCTTAGTGGAACGTCACGTGAAGGCGACAGCCAGGACACAGATCCCAGACATGACCCTCCACAGCATACCCCAAATGGGTTACAGGTGAGCTGACTGATGGACTCTTCTCTGCTCTCCAAGCCAGGCCCCTACCCACGCATGCCCTGCAAATACACTCGTTTCCTAAAAGAGCCACCCAGGAAAAAGGCAGGGGAAGAAGTGACCGATGACCACCTCCCTAATCAAGTTTCTTTCATTATTTCCCAGAATACTTTTCCCACAAATACCCATCCATTCAATAAACATTTACTCAACACCTGCTATGTGCCAGGCCCTGCCATGAGCACAGGAGTAACAAAGAGGAACAAGACAAAGACCCCATTCTCAAAGATTTCAGAGCTCAGTGGGAAAAAGAACAAGTCAGTCAGCGATCAAATCAAAGATAAATGCTGTGACAGCTATGCCACCAAGTTTAAAAGGGACGGGGCAGGAAACCAAGCTGGGCTTCAGTCTCAGTCTGGAAGGAGGAACGGGGGAGAACAAAGAAGGAATTTCCCACAGGCTGCTGGGAAAGACTGAACAGGGGCACAGCCCGAGGCTCTGGAGGCCTGAAGAGCAGAGTGGAGAAATGGGCAGGGAAAGCACTGTAGGAGGGACAGTGGGGTCTGGAAGAACAACTGGAGCACTCCTGATGGCTGGCCAACCCAGCCCAGTCACCTGAAGCTGCCGCCACCTCTTCCTGTGGTGTCACCCATCATCTGCAGTGACAGGTTCTAGGCAGTGGAAGCCTTCCTATCCAAATAGAACAGCTGCTCCCTCGTCAGCTTCTCACCTGGACATGTGGGCTATGATTCAGCAGGTCCAGGTACGGAGCAAGTGCACAGGTGTCCGGCTCTGCAGAAAGGCATTCCCGCTGCCTGGGCCTCAGGTACACGGCTCTGGTGTTGACAGTGCACCAAGCCCACAGCAGGGCACTGTAGCTGAAGATGCTGTCAACAGCCTCAGCAAACAGAGGCTGCAGAGAAGAGAAAAAGTCTCTGGAGGAAGCAAAGAACTCCTGCACATGGGCTCTCTGCTCTTCAGCCTTTGCTTTTAAAGATTTGGGAAAAAGGTTCAGCACTTCCGGCTCCAAACAAACAGGGCAGGTATAGGCCTTGGGTAAAATCTCCAGGTAAGGCTTCCAAAGAGATCGGTCACCAGCATGCTTTTCTGAAACTAAAAAGGTGCACAGTGCCAGCAGAGGAGATGGAGGAGGCTTCCACCTTTGAAAATTAAAAACCGGTTTAAAGGAGTTACTTTGATTCAAAATACGAAATAAGCTAAGCAGTTGGTTTTGCTGCCAAAAGGAATGTGTTCAAACTGTCAACATGCTCAGTTTACTTAACAGACTCAAAAGACTTCCTTCCTTCCTTATGGCTCTTCCTCTCTGGGGGGGCACAACCCCAATGCTAGCACTCTGAAAGAGCCATATTTACCCGTCAGAAAAACTGACTCACTAAGCCAAGTTCCAGGTTTGTTGCAAGAAATTCCCCTTTGCAAAAAAACCTCTTTGCTTCCAACTTAGTTCTCCAGTTGTAAAGCTTCTGACCTAAGTCCATTGGTCTCACCTGAATAAAGATATAAAATGATGGGAAGAACTGAGACCTGCACCTCTGTACACAAAGCTAATTTAAATTCTTTAGAATTAAATAATATTTAAAATTCAGTCCCTCAGTGAGATAAGCCATGTTTTAAGCATGCAACAGCCATTCGGAGCTAGTGGCTACCATACTGGACAATGCAGAAAAAACATCTCTGTCACTGCTGAAAGTTCTATTGGAAGGCACTAACCTCGACCAAACCTGACTATGCTCATATACACTCGCTGCAGCTCTAAAGCTTTTATTCCTAAGTTTACCTGCTCTATTACAAGTTATATATCACAGTATTTTTGTTTTGCATGATGCCAGTAAAAAGATCTCATGTTGCCTAAATGTATTTAGAAAACATTTTCATCAACACTTCAATGTCCAGATTCCTATACTGCCATACATTCTACTCAAAATTTCAGAATGATTCAGAAAGTGTTATTATGACAGCATCCTTGCCTGACACAGGCCTAAAGACCTATTCACCTTCTTGCAAAAACATGCCAGGCAGAAAAGAACTTACCTAAGGGTTAAGAAACAGTAGAGGCCAGGCACAAAGGCTCTTCGCCTATATCTCAGCACTTTGTGAGGCTAAGGCAGGCAGATCACTTGGAGCCAGGAGTTTGAGACCAGCCTGGTCAACAGGGTGAAACCCTGTCTCTACTAAAAATGCAAAAATTAGGTTTGGTGGAGCATGCCTGTAATCACAGCTACTCAGGAGGCTGAGGCATGAGAATTACTTGAACCTGGGAGGTAGAAGTTGCAGGGAGCCAAGATCACGCCACTGCACTCCAGTCTGGGTGACAGGGTAAGACCCTGTCTCAAAAA